TCTTCAATCCTTTGAATGTCTGAACATATTCAATCGATTCAAGTGCTTTATAAAAATTTTCAACTATATGTGCAGTAAGAGACTTGATATCTTCCTGTATAAGCACAAAATTTACATTTCAAATACAATACAATGCTTGTTAGAAGAAAAATAAAATGATTTTTCTTATAGTTCCAAAGCTGATCCAAAAAATTTTTCAAAATCATCTTCCAAAAATAAATGTCCCAATTTCTTTCTACATGAGCTGGGACTCCACAGAAAACTTGGAAAAAAAGGAGCAATTCACCGAAGCCCTTTGCGGGGACTATAAAGAACATTTGAGAAGTCAACAGATTCAGTTTATGTCTATTATTTGTATTTACAAAGCACTTTAGAATTTAAGTTTTATTACACTCATTTTACAAAAATAAATTGAGGCTCCGAGAGAGGTTGGATGGTTTCATCAAGAACACACAGCTTGTTAGAGGGCAAATGTTAAAATCATTTTCAACAAACAGGTGTTAATGACTTTCTGTTTTAAGTTATCAAAATAGTAAGGTTAGTTTCCTTTGACATTATTACATATACAGATCTAATAAACTATTTGGAATTCTACTTGTCTACTCTTGCAGTGTTCCTAGTGTATATGGAACATAAGGATAAGTTTTGGGATTCAGTGCATTCAACATATATATATATATATTTATATATATATATTTATTTTTAGAGAAACATTCAATCATAGGAACAGGGATAGGGTTCTGAACCCTACATTTTATTTTATCATGTATAAAGTATCTCACCAAATTTTTAAAGGAAAAAAGTTCTGATTCATTGGAACAATATACTATGAACCTGAGTTAAGATATCTAGTGAGATGGTTGATTATGTTCTTCTTTTCTAAGAGAAAGACTATACTTCTATCCTCTTCATCCTTTCAAAAACCGTATTCTTGGCAAGTGACCACTCTTAGAAAAATTATCTAGTCAGCTAAACAATCGTCATATGAGAACAGCAAGTCATCAGTAGAAATCTGATTTAAAAAAAAACAGAACCCAAAATCTAAAACTAGAGAATTTCCAGTTTTGACTTTTTTTTCAAGTTCTTTCCAACTATATAGCCATTTCCTTGGTGGAATTAATTCTATGTGTATATGTGCAGGAGTGATAAATTTATTGTACTGTTTCTATAGTTATGTGTCTTATTCCAGTTTTTCATATACAGTTCTCTTCAGATTTTTTTTGGGGTACAGGGGATCGAACTCGGGACCTTGCGCTTGCGAGGCAGGCAGTGGAACCATTGAGCTGAATCCCCAGCCCTCTTCAGATCTTTTTATGACAAATGTTTTGTTGCCTGAAACTGAGCTCGGATACAGCTTCAAGTGCACACTGTATGGATGCTCATGAATAGTTCAATGAATCACTTCAGGTATCTTAATTTTCTCAATTGCAATATAAGGTAGTTGTACTAGTTCATCAAACTTCCTGGTCTCTTCAACTTTAAATTCCAGGATTTCATCCTACTTTTCATGTATCCTGTATCAATGACCACTGAATAAATTACTTTTCAATCTCTCTATTCATTTTTATAACTATTCCTGTAATAAACTAGCTTTTTAAAAGAGATCACACGAATAGCAAGCTTGTTCAAAATGTCCATATATGTTAAATCTGATGTTGAAACACTGGGGCAATATAAATGGAATTGAGAAAACTGAATAAATACAGGTTTAAAAATTGCTGCATTTCACACTTCAAAATTTTGGGCTGAGGCTGTGGCTCAGTGTTAGAGCACCTGCCTAGCAAGCATGAGAACCTGGATTTGACCTCTAGCACAGAACAAACAACAAAATAAGAAAACAGAAAACAAATCACTACATCATAACCCTGTGACAAATAAGAATATAAAAGTAACTCATTTAAAAAATTTTAGTTTATTGGAAATAGATTTTAAGGCACAGAATAAATTTCAGGAGAATAAGAATGCAGAAATTGTTTTGCTTAAATATAATTAATTTACTTTTACATATAATTACATATAGATAATTCTTTTATATGTAGTTACCAAGAGTTCTATAATATACTTACCACTCTTATAAACTCAAACAACTCAATGACTGCTGAATTCAACAGATTGTACCGAGTTCCATTATCCAGGAGAGCATTAATAACTGGCTCAAAA